TTTATTCCACTCGAGCACAGGTATCCAAATGAAACAGTTCTTAAACAGTGGAGTTTGAGGTGTACTGAGTTGAACCTCAAAACGTGAAGCAGATACAGTACGTGCCAAGTCACTTAAACACTTCCCGTGAAAGTATCTATAGGAGAGAGACAAATATCCAACTTTTCTTCGATGTTCCAGATGCAAGTGAAGTTCGCATCTTCAATCAGGCGGATGGCTCTTTTCTGGATGGAACCCAGCAGCTTCAGGGTATGCTTAGGGGCGGAGCACCATACATGGGAACAATACTCCAAAGAAGGTCCGATCTGAGCTTTATGAAGCTTTAAAAGTTGCTGAGGTGTGTACAGTTTTCTGGTTCGGAACAGTGTTCCAAGCTTTTGAGAAGCAGTCTGCAATTCCAGCGATATGATTGTGCCAAGACATATTGGTGTCCATTTTGACTCCCAACAAACTTATCGAAGCAGAAAGCGGAATTATCTTTTTGGAGGAAACCGATGCCGTGTTTTTGTGGAATTGAATTGAACCTGGCTACCTTCACCCCATTTCGAAATCACTTCTATAGATCCTCATTAAGGCAACCTTCTGCTGCCGGTGAAGATGTGCATCCTCAGCCAATCCTGGAATTCAAAGGGAATGACGCGAAAAGTGTGCTGTCATCAGTAAAGCAATATATTGGATTCTTTCCAATCATTGATATACGAAAAAAAGAGGGTTGGAAACAATATGAATCCCTGGGGAAAACCCGCGAATGTTTACCTCAAATCGTTGGTGTATTCTAAAAGTGGAAGTGTACCTACCCTGTTAGATATAAAACAGTTTTAGAGTTAGTAATTGATTGATGTACGAGATCTCCTGAAGACACAAAATTAGTTGGTGAACAGTGCTTGTTTTAAATTTCTTCAACGTCAGATTTTCCAGTACTACCGGTGAATTTACGGGCGTGGCCCAACTCTGCAATAAACGAAGTGAAAGCGAAAACCGGCATTTTGGAATTATAAATAAGCTAGTGAAAACGCTGATAAATGAATCGTTTGAATTGAAAACGCCGATCACGTTTCCTTTCTGTCGAGACGGGATGTGGCTGAGTGACTAACCGCGTTTGCGTTTCCGGGGACCTTCCTAATCGTCGATTGTTTGCATTCGACGTGTTCAACATGAGCTCATTTGTTCGCCATATCGATATCGTCCATAATTCTTTCTTTAGTTTTTGTTTGGGAATTTCCGGATGAACCGACAGAATAATATACAGGGAGTCTCATAAGACACAGTCCGATATGAAGAAGGAGAAAGAGGTGGTCATTTCTTACAAAAAAAACATAACATGCTGGGTTTGCTTCATCACTGGTTTCAAGTAATTTTTTTTGCAAGTCTTGATCCCATGTCTACCACTCTACAACTTACTGAACAGTCTGAGCAAAAACTTCTCGTCGAACGAGAGAATGAAATCTACCCCGGATAATTTGGAATATGTCGTTTTGTGGAGCAGTTTGTTAACTTATCACATTAGGACGAAAGACGGGAGAATGGATAAAAATGCCAAGAATGACCAACAAGTTACAGGGACGTAGCTAGGCATTGGCGGTAGGGGCCCCCGCCGAGGGCGCAGAATACATAGGGACGCAAAATTTCCCTTGTTGAAAAAATGCAAGTTAAACAAAAAAAATGAGTATAGGAGTAAAACAAAAGTATAAGAGTAAAAATAACGTCTTTCACAACAAGTTGCATGCAATAAACATTAAAGAAGTGAATTAACAAAAAATATTTATTAAATAACTAAGCAAGCAAAACTTAGCATTTTGTAGCAAAAATTACAAAAAATTACCCCCTTCTTCCGGAGGGGGGTCAGTACAATTCGCCAAGGGCGCTATATACTCTAGCTACGTCCCTGACAAGTTATAATCAACACTGGCATCCCATTCGGTCCGACGTGGATTTATAAAATGTTGCATAACATGCGTACTGACTGGATCGAGGGTAGACAACAAGATGCGGAAGGGTTTCTAAGGTTTTTTTTGAATGGACTCAATGATGAAATGTTTGAAGGAGTTGGTTAAATATTATATTGAAAAACCTTTCATTGACTGCTTTGAGAAATGATTCAAATAATGAATGGAACATAATGGAATCGAAAAATAAAGGATATTCATCCAGAAAGATCGACTTCACCAGTACACCGATAAGTGACATTTTCAGGGGGCAACTAAAGTCGAGCATTCATCGTAACATTATTGAGAATATCCAGCCTTTCCACACCATTCCACTCAACATTGAGAAAGTGAAGACTGTCAGAGAAGCGCTCTCCAAGAACAGTTTAGAGGGGCTGACTTCGTAGAAAACAAACGAGAAGGTCGAAGCGTGGGAGCAAATTATGCTTTGCAAACTTCCCGTTATCCTTATATTGTATATGAAGTTTTGCACGAAGATTATCAAGGCTCCTAATTTTGAATTCGATTTGAAGATTGATTCGACATTGGTATTGTCGGAAACACAGCCTCCAACATAGAAGCAGTTCAAGCTATTCGCCGCCGCTGAATAAGGTACATACCGTGCAGGAAAAATACGTGCTGAAGCTACAGGGAACACGAGTTCCTTATCTGCTGTTCTACAGACGATATGATCCGATCTAAACAATGCCCCCTAGGGGGATGAGGTTGCTGCATTTACGTAGAGTTCAGCATCTGGAATCGTACGAAATTCCTCTTTTGAGTTTTTCGAAAAATCCAAGAACATTTTTAATGGTTTGTTCAATTGATTAGCAGAATATTTGGTCTTTCATTTGTAGTAAGTCAAATCTAAGAGCTCATTTGTCAATTTCTGTACTTTGAAAATTGGCAATATTTTAATAGACTTCATCTTCAAACAATTGAACTAAACCTTGTTTCGACCAACTCAAAAAAAATCTTTGATTGTGTCGGCTTGAATTACACGCATTTGAATTATTGTATCTTCATGGAAGACTCGTTGATCTTCACTAATTTTACAAAGTTTGTCTTTTATCAAATGCCGGAACATTCTCAATTATTGATCTCGGTGTTTTTCTTTTTTATTTTCAGCTACTTTCTAGTTCCTCATTTCTTCTCTTCTTTTTCTTTTTGTCATTAATCCTTTGTATTGCTTCCTTTTTCTTCTATTTATTCTTGTCTTTTGATTTCTTGTTGCTGTAGTTCTTTCAAGACGGTCTCATGATATGTTTTCTTTTATTTTTTGTTCATCTAGAAATTTCCGTAACTCAGTTTGTTCTTTCCATATCGAATTCGAGAACAACTGGGATTACCGTTATGTCGTCGGAACTAATGGTGAAGGAATATCACCAACACACTTCTGTTAAAAAAAACTGTTTTTCGACAACTCTCAGAAGTTGAGAAACTTGTGTGAGCTAAGGACTAACGAGGTCTTACCTTTCAACTTGTGATTCGTAACACGGTTGCAGAATCATCCCAGCTTCAAGCAGATAAATTCTCTCGAGAAAAATATCTGGTCGAGGCGGGAATCGAACCCACGGCCTTCCAATCGTGAGTCAGACGCACTACCACCACGGCCACTTAATCTCATTCTGCATTTAAAGGCTTACAATTATTTAATTTGTTTCTCTACTTTATTTTCCTTGCTATTACTGTCTTGACTGGAATTGAAACTTCCTCGTAATTTATTGAGTTATGAATAGTTTTTGGTGAGTTCGGTATGTCCACGTCTTCCTTTTCTTGATTGGTTTCTTCAAGTGCAGAATTGGCACAAAAAACCCATTCTAAATTCCACTCGTCATTTCATAATAAGTAGTACAACATGTAGAAAAATCAGAGTGGTTTATTATTCAGTTCAGTCCAGCTATTCTAAAATTATTTTTGGATGTTGAACATCAAAGACACAATTCTAATCTTGATAGTAGTATTTCGGATAGCGCACAGTAAAATCCGTCCAAAGCGTTTCAACATCCAACCGAAGGCTCGTCTATGAGCAAACTTTGAGATTTTTATTTTTTACCTTACGATCCTAAGCTTGTATAATGATACATTTATTTTTTCTGATCGAAAGTAAAGTCATGAGTTGTGATGTAATCAGAAAGCAAGATAGAAGAATGGAAAATAATTGAGCAAGTTTTTATGAAAAAAAAAACACTTTGAATTATCATGATGAGTTTTAATTATCCTTTCCAGGAATCCGGCTATACCCACTATATTCCTTTTTCTTATTTCTGCAAGACAGTTTCATAATATATTCCTCTTGGCTGTTACAATTATTCAGCAGAGGTTGCTACTAGGAACGTGATCTGTGTTCAAAAGCGAACCTTTCATTTATTGGTGTTTTCCCTCAGTTCATATTCAGAAATGTCTTTTTACTTTTATTCCGATATCGAAATCCAGACTGGTCTTGGAAGCCAATGAGCTCTCTGCTCGATATTACGATTTTATTTCTCTGAGCATGACTTCAGAGCTACGTGACTACTGTTGAAGCACGTTTGCGAAAACAATAAAATTTAAAGATTTCAAACCCAGAAGTGAAAATCGATGAGTACACAGTGATTCCAAAAAATAACCGATAAGCTGGCAAAAAGATCCTTTAATTTTGTAATAGTTTTCACGTACTCAGTTTTCAATCTCCACACATTCCTCTTACATACTGCCAACCGCATCCCAAATTCAAATTGTATCCTTTGCGACACCTTGATTTGTAGATTATTTCAAACTCGAAGCAATGAAAACACATGTGTCAAAGTAAGTTACTGAGATTTTTCCGAAATGTATTCAAACAACAAACATTAAGGCTGGTCGTCCATCAGAAGCGTAGTCGCGCGACTCGAAGGTAGCGCGTATACGCCCGTATACAAGCGACTGATCCTAACAAATGAAATGTAAGTAAATAACATCCACTGTAAACGACCTTGAGCGACCGGCCTCGGCCGACCACAAGCGACTGGCGACCGATCCCCTCTGAATGGGATGAGTCGCTTGTAATCGCATGTATGCATCACGAATTCGCCATAAAATTATTCATTGCGTTTGGGTTCGTGTGTTCTGTGCAGGTAATGTTTAGTTTTCGATATGGAAATTGATAACGAAAAATTGATTAGTGCCGTTCGTGAAAAGTCTCCGTTGTGGAACATGAAAGACAAAAGGTATCATTCTCGTGATGTACAGATGAAATTGTGGTCGAAAGTTGCAGAAGAAGTAGGTATTAATAATAATGGTAAGAGTTTTTGTTAATATCATTAACATATTAAGTGAACAAAACATAAGAAATATGTAGGCAAAAACAGACCGTCAGTACAAAGCTTTTACTTAAGACACAAGTTTTTTTAGGTATTTGCTTCATGTTCACAAAATATGCTGAAAATTTGTCTCTGATCACATAAGCGGTAGTGAAACTCCTATTTTCACCTAGGGAAGCAAATCTGGCTTTTGTAGTACTGGTTTCTGATTGTTGAGGTATTGACATAGGTTGTGGTTCGCCTTCTTTGTCAATTATAATATTCTGCAACAAACATATACATTTAACGATATCATCGACAAAGTTTGGTTCAACCTCAATTCCTTTTTGAAGCACCCTCCACTTGGCGGAAAAAATACCAAACGCGCATTCAATAACTTGCCGTGCTCGTGAAAGTCGTTTATTGAAAATTGTCTGTGAAGGTCCAAGTTGTAATGCGGGAAAAGGTCGCATCAAGTAAGTTTTCAATGGATAGGCTTCATCCTCCAAAAGAACGCGCGGAACTTTAATATTCGATCCAGGCAGTGTGGAAAACCGTTTATTACCCAACTCATTTGTTTCAAGCCTTCTATAAAGGCGGGAATTTGAAAACACACCACCATCACTTTCCTTGCCGTACCCTCCTGTATCAATGGTAATAAACTTGTAATCGGGTCCCGCAACACCTTGTAGCACAGTTGAAAAGAAATGCTTGTAATTTCTGAACATGCTGCCTGAATGGTCTGGATTTCGTATGCTTATATGTTTTCCATCACTGCACCCAACACAACCAGGAAATTTCCATTTACGCCAAAAATCTTCTTTTATTGACTCCTGCTGTTCATCTGTAAGAGGAAATGGCATATGTAGAGTGCTCAGTGGTCCCAAATAGAAATGCATGTTTCTCTAACTATTCTTTCAACGGTCACATTCGACATTCTAAACGAATACCCCAATGTTTTGAATAAAGCACCTGTGGCCAAGTACCTGTAACAACAGAAATCATTATGAACATATAGATTACATTACATTTTGCAATATTAACCAAAACTGTGGTTTTGTGTTTTAGTGAACGAAGTAAAGAAAAAGTGGAAAGGACTGCGCGATGTATTTAGAAGAGAATATAAAAAAGTCTACAAATCAGGAGATGAGGCGCCGGAGGAAGGTTCGTCTTCATGGACGTTCTTCGACCAGATGCTGTTCCTCTCCGACATAATTGAGGGGAAATGTTGCCTCTCCAGAAAGAACACCTTCTCGAAATGATGACGGAGACGCTATTGCCGATGAAGATGATTTGTCTCATTTGGAATCACCACAAACAGTTGTCACTTACCAAGGAGAAGTTAATATGTCATCGAGCGAAACCAGAAAGATGGAACTCCCAGTACCTGCAAGCAACTATCAGATGCGTAGAAAACAGCATGATACACAACCAGATAATGCTGAAGTTCGTCCTGTTGGTTCTCTAATAACACCTACAACTAGCAATCCTATACGTAAAAAAATAAACCAGCAGACATCACGGTTGAAAATAAATTTCTAGAAATCGAGAGGGCTAAGTTACAGTTATCTACCAAACATGGTGTTAACAAAGAAGGAGACAGCTTTTGGTAAGTCTTCTTCCATACCTAAAAAAAGTTCCAGAACACCGCAAATTGAATGTAAGAATAAACTTCAGCAAGTTCTTATTGATGAAGGAGAGCAATGCAACAGATCCTCGCATATCCCATCTCTCTACACACCAACACCGGTACCCTCGCCTTGGACCAGCGAAACAAGTGGACCCTCATGGACAATTCAAACGTCTAACTTACCTTCAGGCGAGATTAATACTGGTTTGCGACAATATTTCGGGAACTTTTCAGATACCCAGTAACTGTGTTATATAGGCTAATACCAATCAGGCGCAATAAGAATTACAAAAAGTTTACATATTGTCTGTACTATCGAGTACTTTTTTTATTTCCTTTTCATGATAGATGGTTGTTACTTTTTTTTTGTTCAATTTAAATTAATAAAGATTTATGACAATTGAATAACTTTACTTAGCTTAATGTCACACTTAAACGTTCCACAGGTCTTATTGTCTCCCTGAAATTTGAATATTTGGCGATCGATGACTCTATAGCACTCAAAATGTACTGAAATGTGTCTGGACTCATCCGGTAATAATCAAAGAATTTGTGCGGAATATTTAGTAAATCGTCATGCAGGTGATGAAATTCTCCCAGTAAATTTATTCTACTAAGTATTTCATCTATCCAACACAAACATCTCTTCTTATCACGACGAGCTCTCAAACGCCTTATTATGTAAGGTTGCTAAAAACAGTACATGTTTTGCAAATCCATTTCACACGATTCTTCAAAGCACACTTTCTTTATGATGACAGTTGCGAACTACGTAGTATAGAGTCGCCTGCAGTGAATGATACTAGTCGCTCAGTCTCATGATCGCACATACACGGGCGTATACGCGCTACCTTCGAGTCGCGCGACTACGCTTCCAATGGACGACCAGCCTAAAGCGAACCAAAAAATCCATTCGTACTGAGAAATTAACCAAATTGAATTATTTTTCATTAACAAATGGATAATGTCATAATCCATGGCAATGGCTATTTGAGGCTATTGAGCGGATATATTTATCCATTAAAACAATTATTTTCCTTTAGTGCCTCAATAATTTCAAAAACTTTAGTTTTTGAATGGAGTTCGAGGAAATAATCCAACGGGGTTAAATCTACATAATAAGGAGGAAAAATGTCTTGCTGTAACCATGTTCTGTGATCAGGAACGACATGATTCCCTGTATTAGGAATCAATTTTGCAATTGTAAAACAACGGTCATTTGCAGATCTCGAAAAAAGTAATTTAGATATTATATAATATTTGTAAAATCAAGTAATTATGTTTCGAACAAATTTGAAAATTTTAATATTGAATAACCCAAGGCATCACAGACGTTTCGGTGAAAACCAAAAACACGTCATTTTTCAAAGAGGACTGTTAAATATTCGAAAAAACTAAAATATATTCAAAAGAAAGTTCAATACAATCGACTTATCAATATATATCAATGACAGTAACTTGACAACTCTTATTATAGAAAATACAATGTGTACAAAAAGTTCAACAAATTCAGAAATTGAACTATCTGCGACAAGGACTATTTTTGAGGCAGAGAGTGGAGAGAAATCTTCAACCCTTTATGTGGGGGGTCACGGTCAAAATGTTTTGAAAGAAAATAAGAGTCAAGTGATTTCTCATTATTCCTTACATATTTATACTTAATTCTTGAAGATCGATTCTCTCTTTCAGAGAATATTGGGCTTTAACATAATCAATTTGACGACTTCAGTTGGCCGCCAACGTACATACTATTAGACAAATTATCTTGAAATCAATGTCTAACATTCTGGAGCATTTGCGGTGTCACTTCATCACGGACGTCAATGTTTGTTTCGTCATCGCAGATCTTCTAATGTGCCTGGTGGAGTGTTGTAAACTTGGTTTTTTATATGCCTCCATGAAAAATTCAATTAATATAAATTTGGGGACCAACATGACCGCTCAATTGGATCCGTTCATGTCATGGATCCCAAATGTCCCAAGCACCAGAACTGTAACACTCACCTCGATGCACATTCCACCAACCAAGTTGGCATCTTCAGCAGGTGAAATAGGCTAATTCCTTACTCTAATTCTGACCTCTGTTTATATTTAACAGGGTACACTTTCACTTTCAAACATATATCATTGATTTCGGGTAGACATTCGCAAGAAGTTTAATGCTGAGAGTTAACGCTAATTTCAACAGAGTGATTCATAGGAAGGTAAACAAGGGGCTGTTTGAAATGGGACCTTTGTCACTATTCATAGTTCTCAAGTCATACTGCTATTTTCAGACTTTCGGAATAATAAAAAAGTCTAGTGTCATGTATGCACCGATCTCAATAATATTAGATCATTTTCATTTAATCTATGGCCGTCCTTCAACGATTGTTGAGCGACTCTATATTTTTCTAGTCTCCGAAATCGTATATGTGCTGCGTGTTCTTTGAAACAAGTTGTAATAGCTCGCTTGGTATGTCCGATATACTTTTGTGGAAGATACCCCTTGCTATGTCCCTGATATTTTTCTCCATAACGTACCCTTTTTTTCATGCAAGAGAAACTTAACAAACCTATAGACAAGAAAATTTAGTCCTGATATTTTGTATTTTGGACAATGGTGTAAGCTGACAAAATGGTTTAGACTTTCACGGCTGAGGTTTTCAGTGTCATTTCTTTTCGAGTTTGAAAGCCGTGGATTTTTGGAATTTCTTCCTGACGTTTCGCTGGCGCGAGTGGCTAGCTTCTTCAGAGGTTTAACCATCATGGCTTGCTGTCGAATGACTACCTTTTCGGCTTCGTATAGGGTATTTACGCCTTGTCAGGTAATCAGTTGAATTTGTACCTGCATTTGTACCCTGTACTCGTTCCTGCACTTGAACTTGGAACATTAACAATCCTGCTGCCCGTTGTCCTGTTCGTTATTCTCGAATTCCTTAAAATAGGGTTCCATATTTGATTGAGGTGCACCGATTCTTCTTTTCGGTTGAAATTCTCCGTGTGTTTGTGGATCTCTATTGCCTCCCGTACCAGTTGGCTATGGTATCCCTGGTTGGGGGCAATTAGTTTTGTGTTTTCAAACAAAATTCTGTGGTCTCCTTCACTAAGTGCGTGTTCCGCCACAGCTGACTTGTCCGTTTGGCCTAGTCTGCAGTTCCTTTTATGCTCTTTTAGTCTTGTTCCCATGGACGCTGGGTGGTTCCGATATATACCTTTCTACAAGTGCACGGTATGTGATAGACCCCTGCTGCTGATAATGGGTCTCTTTTGTTTTTAGCCGACCTGAGGCTGTGTTGTATCTTCCTCGTGGGTTTGAAGACTGTTTCGATGTCGTGTTTGCCCAATAGTTTTCCAATTCTGTCCGTGACCCTAGGGATAAACGGTAGATATGCGTGTGCTACCATCTGATCCTTTTTTTTTATACTAAAAGAGCATAAAAGGAACTGCAGACTAGGCCAAACGGACAAGTCAGCTGTGGCGGAACATGCACTTAGTGAAGGAGACCACAGAACTAATTGCCCCAACCAGGGATACCATAGCCGACTGGTAGGGGAGGCAATAGAGATCCACAAACACAAGGAGAATTTCAACCGAAAAAAAAGCGGTGTACGCGAGAATAACGAACAGGACAACAGGCAGCAAGATTGTTAATGTTCCAAGTTCAAGTGCAGGAACGAGTACAGGTACAAATACAACTGATTACCTGACAAGGCATAAATACGCTTTACGAAGCCGAAAAGGTAGTCATCGGACAGCAAGCCATGATGGTTAAACCTCTGAAGAAGCTAGCCACTCGCGCAAGCGAAACGTCAGGAAGAAATTCCAAAAATCCACGGCTTTCAAACTCGAAAAGAAATGACACTAAAATGGTGTAAGCTACCAGAAATATATCTGAAAGTACTGGTAATTTTTCAATAGATATCAAATTATAGACCCTGGTTGCTTCTAATCACTAAGACATCCAAGAATAGTAACTCAAATCAAATTATAGACCCTGGTTACTTCTAATCACTAAGACATCCAAGAATAGTAACTCCTCGTTGTTTTCAATTGAATATGGTTATTGAGTTTACATATACATGATTTATTTTAATAAATTGATGGATGTAGCCGTTACTATGTGGTAGGAGATCATGATGAAAAGAGAAATTTTCATGTATGTATTTTAAATGTGGGATAACACTCAAGAGGGTTCTATGCTATGCTCTCTGTTTCAAAAGTATTTCTTCAAAAGAAAACTTGCTTTTTAGTTCTTGCCGACAAGTTCTTTCCCGCCCTTTAATGCTCTGGGGTACGTTTCCGATGGTCCACCCGGTATGTATGATGAATATGGTTGAATGATGTGATCTATACATTTTTTAGATTGGAGTTTTAAAAAATTCTTTTTGAATGTATTTGAAAACTCTCGAAATCTCTCAAAAGTAACAACTATTATAATTTACAAATTTCAGTATAAAATAATGAACCTTCATTTAAACCCATGAAAAGTGAACAAAATATCGGATTGTCACGTGTAATGAAAAGTGGATTCTCTACGGTAACAGGAGATGTTCAGGACAGTGGTTGGACACCGATGAGCTACCCAGACACTTTCCAAAGGCGAAAACACACCAAAAAAGTCCATGGTTTCTGTATGGTGACAAACGACTGGTGTGATTCATTATAACTTTCAGCAACCGAGCCAAACCATCACTGCAAAGTCCTATTGTGAGGAATCGATTTTATGTACCGAAAATTTTGACTGCAGCAGTCGGCACAGAAGAGGTCTGATCCTGCTCCACGACAACGCCCGTCCGCACTTTTCATGAATCTAAGTTCGAAAATTAAACAAATTGAGCGTCAAAGTTTTGCCTCACCCACCATACTCCCCTTATTTGATTTTATTCAAACGTTTCACAGCGCTCACTACTTGTGATATAATTTGAATACCTTCTGATAAATAACTTATATTGTTATTTATAACCTGAGTTTGTTGTAGGTTTTCCCCATGAAAAAATCAGTTAGTCCCACCATCGCTGAACTTTGAGATTTGAAATTGCCATCCTTGCATGTCTCGTTAAGTAATGGATTAATGTTTTCCATGATAGTTTACTATCTGGCTTTTTAAGTTCATATCAAGTTATATGTATTCCTAGTAGAATCACGACAAGAATTGACCATGATTCCCAAGAAGTCATTGCAAAACTCGGGTCTCGTTTCAATTTTACAGCGGTCGTAAAAGACAAAATTAGTAATCATTACAAAGCTCGTTCCAAACACTTAATCATTACGTCATTATTTGTTACTTTTAGTGTTCTCCTCGGGGTTCCATTAGATTTTCAATCAACGAATG